ATGAACATGAAGATGTTCACCTAGACACCTCGCTTTTACGAACACCTTGATGGTGTGGACACAGCTAAATCCCCCTGGTGGTGGGGTACTTCCGTATAGTGGCCTATAGGTATATGAAAAGGTAGGGAAATCTGTCATTTCGGTCTGTAAAAAGGCCCAAACGGTTTTACTGGTGCATTTTATGGCTTTGAAAAAGTCGAGAAGACTTTCTGGTTTTGTGATGCATTCTTAATTCAAAGACAGTGCATGTACAGCAGTTGAAAGGGATATAATGTTTTTTAACCCTTTCACTGGCAGAGAATTTGATGGAGTTTTGTAAGGTGGCTCTAACTTTTGAGTCTGTGGACGAAATCCTATGATGTGACCATTCAAATGAAAGCTCTCTGCCTGTACTTACACATGGTACTATTTGTTTTTCAAAATTTTACAAAATGAAATTTGGAAATCTGGTTAAAATTTGCCTTTGGCTACATTTGGCAGTGAAAGGGTTAACTTGATATGTGAAAGGGGTACCATTTGTCAGTAGAAGGTATATACGAAAGGGGTAACTTTTCTGTCAAAAATGGTATGTAAAAGGTAAGGAGTTGGACATCGGGGCGGAGCCTCCCCGTATAAGACGTTGAGTACCCCGCCACCCCCGGTTAAATCCCAGATAAAAATCAATACCCGACTTTCGGCTGAAACAAATTAAAGGCATCCGCAATTGAGAGAGTGGTAAAAAAAATTACCATTAAATCAAAATGCACACAGAAGAAATAACATTACCACAAATGAATTAAGAGAGATATCATTCATTTGAACGAACACCAGTACATGTACAAGAAGAGCAAACGTTTGGAGCAGGTTTGAAGTGATGACCATTTTTAATGAAATAAGCTATTTACATCATAAAAACCTGTTGTCATAACTACAATCATTATCTTTTTTAACCTATCAACATTACTGTCCTCATCAATACTATAATAATTATTACTTTAAAAAACATCATTTTCCTTGATATTTATGTTTTAAGTCAAGAGACATACAACCTTCCCGGGTTTAAGCAAGCTTTACGTCGAGCAGAAAGGCATATTTATTACTTCCATTTTCACTCGTAAGATAACATGAAATTAGCATGCTGGACCGGTTAATCACGACTTATTTACAGCTAGAATGCCCAATCATGTTTTCTATCCAAGACTCAAATTTAATTTTCGTCCTCGAAGGGCAGGGATATTAAACAATGCGTAGCATTGCGCTGGTTATGCTTTGTCTATGTTGCCACATTTTTTCTTCCAAAAGACCTTAGCCAGCGTATCCAGTGTTTTAAGGGGAAGGAAAAGAGGAAATAAGGTGCGCAAAAACCAAAGGGGAGCGTGTGCGTTTTCCCAAGCCTTATTAAGCCTCTTCCTTTTCTCTTCAAACGCCAAGCACGCAGGCTAAGGAGACCTTAGTCGAAATTATTTTTTCCCACTCAGCTTGAGATTTTAGATCCAACTACGGAATAGATGGAATGGGATTCTACTTCGGTGTTAATCGGTTCGGCCGTAGGTATTTGTGTTCCAACTTCTGAGTAGACAGGGTCAATTCTATCACTGGATTGAGTGGGCTGCGCATCTTTTCCAGTGGGATTAAACCACTCTTCCAGGACTTCCATGCTCTGGTCTCCACTTTCCGCCACAGGCTCTTCCTTTTCCCCGAACTGATTGGAATCGTTCTGAGTAGCAGGACTCTCGTTTGTATCCACCGCATTGTCCATGTTTACAAATTCCCTGTCGGTCTCTTTCATCCTCGTATAACCATCAGGAACTGTTTCCGCGCTTTGATCCGAGCCACGACGCCCTTCGAACATTTCATAATCCACGATTGCAAAGTCGTCCAAACATCGGAAGCTTGTGACACTGTCATTATCTGTCGAATTCTCAAACGGATCCGACAGCCATTCAGGGGAGCTAATGGATAGAGAGAAACAACAACAAAAGAATTTGGTTTATTGCAGTTCTCTAAGCGATATATTGGCGTGGAAATAGTCTTGGAAGAGAAAGGATAGACATGGATAAATGTGGGGGGTTCTGTTGGTAACATTGTGGGAGGCGTGATGGCTTCATAATGAGTGCACCGGAACCTTAGTTGAGTTCAATGTGTTTTTCCTTAGGGGAGATACTCTAAGATTGCCTCACTCTACTCAGGTGTATTATGGAAAATGACGTATTTAATGCCACGGATACCCTGCTTTTCGTCGTAGAGATAGGAATATTCTTAAATCTTCGGCCATGGAAACCGGACAAGCAGTCTCTGGCTTGGTGGGCCACTAAGCGCGAACGCAGACTTTTTTCGCGTTTTCAACTGTATGTTCACTAATTTACTGAAGGAGTTCATTTAAAGGTAAAGAAATAAGCAGGAATATGAAATGTTATAAAAGCTGTAGTGCACACTAGGCTGCACTGCATGGCACTACCTTTGAAAGAAAAAAAAAAGGGAGACAAACAAGCATTTCCGTAATTTGAAATGCTTTCAAGAGGTGTGTAAATTTTCTCTATGTTTTGGTTGCCATGGCACCTTTCGCCTACAAAGTTAAAAAAAATGTCAAAATATCAGTGTTCACAGCTAGTTGAGGGAAAAAAATTGCAAACCTTTCACGATGTCCATTTGATAAACGCGAGCCTAGTTTTCTTCGAATTTTGAAAAAACCTTTTTCGTCGTTCTTGGGTTTTTTTCTAACGACGTTCAAGTTAGCATATCGTGGTTCTGGGTTCTCCATCTTAAGTGTACTGGCGTTGCTGTTAACTTGAGCGACTTCTTCCGAATACAATGGTGCTTCGGGATGAACTGAGTCAGCGGTAACGCCATTTTCCATCGATTGATCTGCCACAATGCCAAATTGAATGACTCCTGCAAACGTTGAATAAATAAATTTAATCACTAAAACTGTTATTTTGGTACTTAGAAAAAGAAGATGGAAATGTTTAGCTGATGAAAGGGCTATTGACCACCACGGAAAATACCATAATTCTCTTTGTTTGTCACCCCAAAATTTTGCGTAAGCATTGTTTTCAGTTTCTCTTGGGGCCATTTTAACTTCCAAGAGAAACTGAAGACGATGCTTATACAAAATTTTGGGGTTACAAACGAGGAGCATTATGGTATGTTATGGTATTTTCTGTAGTGGTCAATTGGTCAAAACATCAATCATCATTGGATATGTGTATGACGTCACCTTCAGAAACCAGCGCTTAAACTATCACCGAAGATGGTATCCGGAAAGTAATTTTAAAGGGCTTGAACTGTGATCACAGCTCACAACTTAACCAGGAAGGCAAGGGTAGCTGAATTAGTGATTCCCATTGTTGTTCTATCTACTAAATCCCTATACCTGTTGGTTTACCAGCCTCCTCTCCAATTTCGACGACAACCTCCTGAACTTCATTTTCGTGTCCGCGGTTTTGTCCCGAGACTAATTCCGCTGGAACAAATACCGATCTCTCACCCTCTTCGTCTTCAACAAGGAAATTGTGAGTAATCCCTTTTCTCTTCTTCCCTCTGCAAAGAATATAAGTAGTGAGATTGGGAGGCATTTGAACGTACAGTACACCTCAAGCCTGTACTTCTTTCTTTCTTTCTTTCTTTCTTTCTTTCTTTCTTTCTTTCTTTCTTTCTTTCTTTCTTTCTTTCTTTCTTTCTTTCTTTCTTTCTTTCTTTCTTTCTTTCTTTCTTTCTTTCTTTCTACTTGAGAAGCATTTGACCGTTCTTTATTCTTCGAGCCCGTACTTCTTTCTTTCTTTCTTTCTTTCTTTCTTTCTTTCTTGCATTCATTCTTTCTTTCTTTCTTTCTTTCTATCTTTCTTTGTTTCTTTCTTTCTTTCTTTCTTTATCTCTTTCTTTCTTTCTTTCTCTCTTTCTCTCTTTCTTTCTTTCTTTCTCTCTTTCTTTCTTTCTTTCTTTTTTTCTTTCTTTCTTTCTTTCTTTCTTTCTTTCTTTCGTCCTTTAGTTAATTAGTTAGTTATTTACTTATTTCTTTATGTATTTATGTATTTATGTATTTATAAACTTACAAGTTACTTCGCCAAGAGGCCTGGAACACTCACAAAGCGATCTCCACTACGAGATCCAGTACTTGTACTGTGTCTGATAAAAATGCCTTAATTACCTACAAAAATAAGTTATGCTTGCCGTTTGACATACCTTCCACAGCATACGTGCCAGCAACAGTAATAACAACAGAAAATAAGAAGTAGGGAAGTCAATATCCCTGCCATCACCCAGAGTGCAATCACTGCAGAATACAATCACACAGAAAACTTTCAGGTTCAGACTTCTTAGCAAATTTCCTCTTTATGGGAATATTTTTAATGTACATTGAGGAAATTCTACAATTATCACCAGTTTCACACTTGGTTTGACCATACAGCACCCAAATCAACATGCAGAGAGACTTTTCGTTTCCGATGGAAGTGACAAATGTTTCGTCAAGGTCGGGTTCGGAACTTTGAACCAAAAAAGCGTTAAAAGTCAATTTTTTTTTTTTTTTTTTTTACAATTTGGCCATCGGCATGCAGTGTAGACTGAAATGTATAAAGGCATTGAACAGATGTAGTTGATAAACCTACCTAAACACATCCATCTAATGGAAATGTTGCTGAAAAAATACTAGTGAGCATAACAACAACATGACCTAGTAAGGCAACAAGGCTTGTATCACAACCAGGTCAACTCCAGCCTCGTTTTCAAGTGTAACTGTAAAATGGGGTTATTGGAAAGATTTGAAGATGTTATGTATACTTACAGATTCCTTTTCCTGCCTCGCCAAGGAGCGGGTCACGTATAACCTCGGGATCAGTGGCTAAGCACGTGAAAAAAAAAAAAATAATAACAATAACTATAAAATGAAAGTAACAATGAAATAAAATAAAAACATCAAAGGAATCGCTCTAATATAATTCTTAGGTGCTTTCGAGATAAACCTCTCGCCAAAACACCCCTGCACACACTTTTGTTCCCCTTTTATTCTCCTTGATGGGAAGATCTAACCACTGTTTGCTCAAACCAGTGGTCAAGTGTTCTCCACCACTAAGATAACGCAAGTTTGATTTTTCGTTTCTGTGTCACGTGCCCTGCATGTCATGCTTAAAATAATGAAAATTGGTTGCTTGCAACTCGAAGGTTTCAATATAATTTATGGGTTAAATGAATAGTGAAGCTTAACATGATAGGCAGAAGGGAAAATATTGTATAGAAAGAGGCTTGCAAATGAGATATTCACTCTCACAATTCCTGGAATTTTGTTGATTGTTACATCAAGTACTCTAAGGAACAAATCGAATTTATCTTAAATTCAGCCACATCTCAAGTTTGTTGTTATTGGTTGTTTGGTTTTAATCTTCCACCAATGGACTCTACGACTACGGGAAATTCGTTAAGTCAATAGGGTCGCAGCTTAAGCAGTTTTACGTTATTTGTTTTTGAGCTACGTACGTCAACCGGAGGTGTACTTTGTACATTCTTGGGCAGTGTTTTTGCCTAAAATTTTGAGTAAATCATCTCTGTAAGAGTTAAGATAGTTACCAATTCAAATTTGGTAGCGTTAGGGCATATTAAAAGAAAAAAGGCCTCACTTTCGGTTGACGCGATTTGAGTGCGTCGCTCAAAAAACGTCTTTGCTTAAGCTCCGTTAGGCCCAGTTCAGACGTCGTGCTTCGGCCGTGCCGAACTAAATTCAGGAATTAAGTTCGACAAAAGCACGGCAGAAGCACGGCGTCTGAATGAATCTTTTGAATTAAGTTCGGCAAGCAATTAAGTTCGACAAGCGCTGTCGTGCTACACGGCTCTGGCACGGCAGCGATTCAAACGTCGTGCTTCTGCAGCGCTAAACCAAAATTCATAAATTATATTAATGTATTTTGACGAGATTGCGTTTCCACGGGGAGTTGGGAGAAGAATTGTTACGAGGCATCAGTAAGGGCCTGTTTACATGGAGTGGGGGACCCCGGTCTAGTGGGGTTGGTTTCTTTTGTTTTCACGCTTTGGAGGACACAAAACAAAAGAAACCTACCCCACTAGACAGGGGTCCCCCACTCCATGTAAACCGGGTCTAAATCCTGAATTTGGTCCGACTCTGGCACGACGTCTGAATCAAAGTTGTTTTCCTGCCGTGCCACAGTCGAACCAAATTACAATTAAGTTCGGCACGTCAGAAGCACGACTTCTGAACTGGGCCTAAGCCTGAATTTCATCCGATTACTTCGAGTCGTTATTTAATACTCCTTCAGTAACGTCTGAAATGCCGTCCAGTGACGTCACTACTCCTTGACCTTTGCTTTAATTCATGAAAAAAGTAAAACACGATTTTCACTGAAAGTGGCAAACTGACAAATATCGTTTGGAAATGTCTGCATGATACAGAATTGCTTTATTTTTTTTCGATCGTAATTCATGTTTAACGATCTAACTATCAACTGCATGCAGTGCAACTCTGAACCGGTTGTACTGAATTCTATAATCAAACTCGGTCGCAATCACGTAATGAAATGAACAAACACACGAAACACTTAGTTCAAAAACACAATGATTTGCTTTAATTGAAAAGAAGCTATTTGGTCCTTAACGAAGAAAAAAAACAAGAAACAAGAAAGAAAAGCTAACAGAATCATTACACTTGACGGTGAAAATAGCAAGAAGGTCGAATTATAACATTGATCTCAGAAAACTTCGCGTAAACAAAATCACCGGCCGCCGAAACCACAAAGCGGCTCTAAATGAAAAACTTACCGACTCTCCGCAATGATTCTTCATTGGCAGTTCAATTTAGCATTTCAGTTTCGAAGACAAGGGCAATTTTGCTGTTTAAGATAAAGATTAAGCTTATCGAAATGTTTGAACTACACGAAAGAATGCCAGGGATCGCCATGGATGCGATCCGCTGAATATCAAGCGACAATCCCGCTAAAATTTTTCATAATTATACATAATTATGCGAATGTTTAAACAAGCAACCAGTCAAAATCACTACCCGGTTTTCGGGTAGTGAGTGACGTCACTGGACAGCATTAACGCGGGCCCGTCGATTCAGACGTTGAGAGGAGAAAACGACTCGAATTCAGGCTAAAGCTCCCTACTACTTCGCGTGTTTTACTTAATGAGATTAGGGACCTTACGAAGCTACGACGGCGAAGGCAGCGGCAACGCCAAATAGAAATTATAGTTTTAGTTAGCAAAACAACAACTCTGCACGTGCATGACGCTTTTTTGTACATTTCTTTGCCGCCCTTTCCTGAACCACTTCGATGTGACATGACCAAATTTTAAGTTTTTTTTGAGGAAGAGAACGGCAAGGCGATAAATTCTACCCCGTCTCTGTCTGAACTCGGGTGCGGCCCCCTCTCTTCATCTCCAACATAAATTCCCTTCTTTTGAGTAACTGGACGACTTATGATAATTGCGAAATGATTTGAAAAGATGCGGAGTCTATTTTTCAGCGAGGTTTTCACGGACGTCCGCGCCGTTGTCGGATCGTAAGATCCCTATTATATTTTCGAAAAAGGCTTTGCTCACCTTGGCATGTTTGATTGTAACATTCTCTGGTTTCATTCATAGGTCCTTCACATCCCAGTTTTACATTTATACAAGTACGATTTCGTCTCTGAGTTCCCGTTTGATTAACTGAAGAACAAGTCTCTGAACATTCGCTCCACTTTCCCCACAATGAAAATCCAGCCGCTGAAATTCAATTCATATGTTATTTGATTAAAATTTAACTATATCGCCTTCTTTTTAAATACCAACGCGCTAAAAACTTCTGGCTTTGGTGATTCGCTATTATAATAGGTCAAGCAACATTACAGACAAGTTTATTTTCCCTGTAAAAGTGGAATATTGTAAAGCGTGTAGGCGACGGTTACTCTAGCTGGTCTAGCCGGCGACACAATCAATGGTACATAGAGTCGACTTTATGTTAATGATTTTTATCATTCGAAGGCGATTTAACATCACAAAGCATATGATGTTGAAATTTAGTTTTCTTTTTAATTCCCTCGAGAGAGACAGCTTGAGAAATGTAAAAAAGAGAACACCGTTTCCAACATCCCGTAAGACGACATATGCCTAATATTGACGTACACTGTACTGTTATTAGAAAGGCCTTTCCGATGTAGCTGAAATTCTCTTAGCTTCTCTGTTAAGATTGAAATCCATTTCTCCGTCCTTGGGAAAGACGCGATTTATAATAGTGTCGTTTTACACTTTTTCCTTTTGTTGACTCTACTGTGTTTCCCCGGCAAACGAAACTCACTTGTTGGCTCATACAAACACTTTGGACCAGTTATTTAAACGGAGTTTCGACTGTGTTTAACAAAACTGCGTTCTAAGCCATTTTCAGTTTGCCCAACACCTTTATCTAAACACTATTCATTGTGAACAATTTCGGTAAAATATATAGTGCAGACTGGAAAATCACTTATTTTCTTAAATTTATCCACTAAAAAAGAGATCAGGAGATCATATTTAATTTCTTAAACCACGGCTTAAGGTACACTTCGGCCCTCTGTCTTGTAAAAGAGATAAGTCGTTTCAGGAGACAAAAAATAAAAGAAAAAGAAAGAAAATAACTTACGTGCAACTCTCGGGTCAATGACTCTCATGATTTCCTCAGCCAATTCATCATCCTCTTTGTTGATTTTGACAATAAGAATGTGCTGCTCTTCCCTCGTGATTATGAGCAAATCAGTGGCATTAACGGATGATCCAATTCCTACACCGACGATGAAAACGCTGTTTCTGACCAAAGCATGGACTACTTTACTCAGTTCTTCTCTACTGCTTACAGTCGCATCGTCCATGATTACCACGAGTATGCGTCTAGCGTTTGGCCTTACCTCTCGCAACTCGAAAATTCGCTTTGCCTCTTCCAGAGCCTGCTCAAGATCTGGACGTCCATCTCTCTTGCGCAACCGTATCACTTTGCGAATCAGTTCATCCTGGTCTGGTATGTTTGAAGCAAAGTCAAAACTTGTGGTTGGAATACCACTGCCAAAGACGATAGCACTGTAATGAATTCTGTCGATACCATATCGATTGATGATACTGATTATCGTTCCCCTCATCAAGACGAAGGTTTTTTGGGACTCGACAGAAGTGGCACTTAAAGCAAAAGTTACATCCAGTTCTAGATGAGGGGAAAAAACGGTTAAAAAAATATTTGTTTGATTTACGTTTTTCCGTTTTTTTATGAATACTCCATTATAACTGGGGGTGTCGGAAAACCGACAGCTACCTAGAGCTGTCGCGTACCTTCCTTCAGTGGTTTTCTTTGGCTCTTCATGATGAAAACACTCCTGAAGGTACGGAAAAACGGGCGACAAAAATCATGCAACATTGCTGCAAAACAAGTTGAATAGCGATTTTGCGCGTTTTACCACCCATATCAAACCTGTCTTTCAACAAATCAGGTTGTTAACAGGTTTGAACGTGGGTGGTAAAACGCGCAATATCGCTTTTCATCTTGTTCAGCAGCAATTTTGCAAAACAAGTTGCACGTTTTTGTCGCCCGTTTTACCAAAGCTTAAGGAAGAGAATTAATAGTCCTGTTGGTTTTAATTATCGTACGGACTTGTTTCAACCATTTTTGTTGGTTATAGTAGCAGCCATTGCCTTGTAGTGATTGCATCTTAGAATGTTTAGTACCTTCACTCGGTTGCGGTAAGTATACTTTGTCGTTCGTGCTGGTGTTTCAACTAACACACCCCGACTTCCTTTGGTACAGAGATCGCCTTTTCAATGTTATTTTGTGTCAATAAAATAGTACTTTTCGTCCTACATGGTCGCAATTTTTGACAGCAACACGCCAAGTGTCCTAACTTACTAATAAAGTAGACCAAGTAGACAAGTAGACCAATTGCCAGCAACTAGAGGCGAAGTAGTAGAAGATATGTATTAGAAATAGTCAAATATTGCACCTGTCGACTTGTAGCTCTTTTAGGAAGACCGAATAAGATAGTCAATTATATTTCTTTATCATATATTTCCACACACGAAGTGCCAATTAACTTACCTGGACATTGGCGAATCAAACAGGCTTCTATATTGTTTGCGTCACCTTTACAAGGTGCTCCACCTTGAGGTGGGGCGGGATTGATGCACAGACGTGTACGACTCCTTGTTCCATTTCCACACGTTTCACTACAGGCAGACCAAGGACCCCAGGGAGACCAATTCGCTACAAATAAAGGAAAAGAAGCAGAAGAATGACTTTTGAAAATATAATTTTAGCTAAAATGTTTTAGAAAACGTCTTGCATGTGTCGAATTCTAGTTCCTTGAAAGATACTGAACTGCTAAAAAAGGATTCCGTTACGTATGTTCATATATTTACGCACCAGTAGTGGAAACTAGTCTTACCTGGACAATAACGAACCAAACAGACTTCTATATTGTTTGCGTCACCTTTACAAGGTGCTCCACCGTAAGCTGGAGCGGGATTGTTGCACGAGTCACGGGAGCCAATCAAAACGCGCGAAAATTTCGACTCACTGATTTGGTAAATACTAATTAAAACTAGTCAAGCTGGTAGGTATGATTGAGTTAGGCTTATTACAACTTTTTTTTTTGCGATATGTGCATGCCTATTTCTCTGCCTTACGTTCTTTAGTAGGGTCCATTACCAGCCGCTGTTCGGAAAATGATACCGCCCCCAAACCCAGCGGAGAGTGGCGGAAATAGAGCCGTCTTCAGTCATTTCTGTGATTCTTCATAAGGCGAATACCACTCGTAGATTAGCACCTAGTGGAATACCATGTAGGTGGTTCCAGCACTACCCTTCTTAGAAAGATTTCACTCTTTATAACGAAAAGACCGCTAAGCAATTGCTAATTTTACGTTTATGCCTAAATTGGGCAAGGCCTTGTGAACTGGAATGCGTCACTGCCTTCATGCGCGTCTGTACTTCGATAGGTGACCTTGAATATCGCAAAAAAAAAAAAACCATGACTAACAGAAAGAGATTTATGCAAACAAAAAGAGATTTGCGTCAGGAAATTGTTCAAAGCTTTAGGGTGTAATCCCTTTGTAGTTGCCGCCATACAAAGATGAACCTAATTAACAGTTATTCGGCCTCATGGGCTATTGGCTAAGACGCCATGAAGGCGAGAGGAATAATCTTTTTAGTAAAATCCAACTAGTTGGTCAAAAATATCGGGGCAAAGCAACTTTATCTAGTTAAAGCTAGACTTTTGCGTCCAAAAAGCCGGGGCTTTTTGCTACTAGTGGGCTATAACATATAGCCTAGCAGTAGCTCAGCCAATCAAAACACAGCATTGATGATAGACCACTAGTTGGATTTTATTAATAGCTGATAGATTAAGTTTGAGTGTTGCATGATTCTTGGCTAACTTCTTGTAAGTTAGGCATGCAATGAGAGTTATAATTCACCATACCTCGTAATGCTTGATATATGATTTCCTCCGCGATGACTACTCTTCTGTCAGTTGTGCTTGGTGTTCCAAGATTATCAACATGGCTGATTGTCACTGAACTAAGTTGATCCACATTTTTGTTTAGGGACAAAAACAGAATGCCGTGAGATCTCAATATATTACTTCCAGTTATAATTTCACTACCATTTCCGGCGTCTGTGATGGGGACGAATACCCTCCTCGCAAACGGCCTTCCTGTTGATCTGAAAAGATTCTCAGCCTCCCGCAACTTTTCTTGAAGAGGTAATGAAGAAACGTTTTCCAGTTTTCTCACGGACGTTATGAGGTCTTTATGACTGAGAAGTGTGTTGAAAAATTCGCTTAATCTTGTTGTTTTTTTAGTTCCGTACACAATGATGTTGAAGCGGACTCTGAAGTCTCTATACCGCTCGTTTATGGTACTGGATGCCTGGACCATCACAGCATAGATGACCGTTGATTCAATGGAGCTAACAGATAAGGCAAAGCCAACATCAATCTCTGGGATCTTACCTAAGAATCGGGACAGGAAATGGTGTTAACTTTGTCAACGATAGCAAACCCAAGTACACCTCACACTTGTCAAAACCCTATATGAATATGAAACGTAAACATTTTGCAGCATTCAGTTACTTCAACGAAGTCTCCTGGTTTTCTTCTATTGACAGGGATACCTCTATTGACGGGGACGTACCCATGGGGGCTACAGGGCGTCCAGACGCAAATCAACTCTAGCGGAAGTTGACCTAATTTTTCGACACACCAAAATCACTGAGTTACTGGAAACCCGTGATAAGAAAAGTTTTGACGTAAGAGCGTTTCTCTCTTAAACTTTATGTCGTGATAAGTAAAGTGTATCCGATTGGTAAAATACTCACATATCTTCCAATTTTAGCAATTATTTTTTTAGAAGAAAATGATTCTTACGTATAATCCTCTCCCTGATACGATTGGCCAACTGGAGAGGCTGTAGGTTCTTATCAACTGAAATAACATCCAGAGGATTAGGCGAGATGATAAGCAATTCCGTCCTATTCACTGCTCCAATCGGCACAGAAATCACAAGTATTCCACTTTCCTCTATAGGTCTCACTGCCTTTTCAAGGCTGTTCTTATCGGCAGAAGAACTTATGTCTGTCATAACAACTAAGGCCTTGCGATTGTTGGATTCGCCCAAAGAGTTATTTTGGAAGGCAACTAGAGCTTCTTCTAGAACAGTGATCAAAGGTTCCGATGCACCCACGGCTCGTCGGGCGCGCCCAGCGGCAGCATTGGAGTTGTCGGCACCGAAACTAAGATTGACCAGTTTGATAACCCCATCAACGTAGGCAATGACGTAATAGTTCACATATTCATATTCTTCAATGAATTGTTTTGCAGTGGTTTCCATTAGAGCGTACGTTTCGTTTGAAAAATCGGACGAAGCAATGAGTGTAAATACGATGTCGATGTATGTGCGGTTGATTCCTGAAACAAACAATAAAACAGAGTTATTCATAAATGATTGATAGGAAGACATATATTACTTACCTTGTTTAGTCACCATTTGTTACGCATTATCAGCAGACGTTTTAATTTTTAACATGCGCTGACATCATTTTGAGTTTGGAACGTCTGTGGTCATAGTGGCAGTATTTGAGGTTAGTATAGTCATTACCTGTCGGTTGGACAGATGGTGTTGTAGTATCTGGCGACGCTGTGGTGCTTGGGGGCTTAGTCGTTTCAGGAGGTGACGTTGTGGTTTGTGGTAGTGTCGTAGTAGGTGGTGATGTCGCTAAAATGAAAAAAAGGCCCGGTTAGTTGAGTATTGGTGTGGTTAACCACCAGAAATGGTTTCGAAACGGGTAGGTTCTTTTTGTCATTTTCACAAAAAAGGAAATGTGACAACAATGAGCAAGCGACATCTCCTGGTTTTTAAGGTGTTTTTTGTACATTTTTGTAGATTGTATTATACTTTTTTACTTGCCCCAGTTAGACCAGTTTCAAGTTTAAAAGGTTTAAAAACGCTTTAAAGGTTTGATTATAGTGGAAATTACACTTAGCTTATCCAGCTAGTTAACAGGCATTCCACTCAAACACCTAGAAATAATTCAAATACAACGTAACAGGATTAAAAACCCCAACTGGCAGGAGTCGCGGCCTATTCTCTGTTTCTGTCACGTAATCAAAAATAAAAATGCAAACCATTTAATACAGAAAGTCCAGAATTGGGGAATGAAAGAAGATAATATGCAAAAATCCTCGCCTAAAAGCAGGTCTGTGCGATATTTTATATGCGAGATATTCGGAAATGGAGACGCAATGTTGGTGTCCCTTTGAGGGGCACAAATATGGCCGCCGGAAACCAACAGAAACAGCTGTTTTTGAGCTTTCCTACAAATGGGTGAATTCATCGCTTGAGAAACTCATAAAGATTAAAGTATTATTTATTCTGAGACAAGGAATGTTCAGATAGCAAAATCTCCAAAAATCGGTAACATTGTTATACGCCCCCTTAAGAGCTTTCCCGGCCGCCAGATTAAGATGCCGCGTCACGCAAAGTTAAATTAAAGCGTCCTCTATCGCTAAACAAAGAACCCTTTCGAACTGAAAATTTGATTGAATTAAGGTGTTTAAATGTTGTAATACCTCATGAAAGCAGAAACTCAGAAGAGTCGAGAGTTTCTTAGTCTGAATTTTGGTGACGTCATGTGAAAACCGAGAACACAAGCATGGCCGAGGTTTTGACCTCGGGACGAGCGAGAACAAATCCAGCGAGTGGCCAGAGCGGTACGCGAATCCGGAACCGCGAGTTTTCGAGTCCCACGCCCTGACCACTCGACCACGCTGCTATGTATAGTAGCCAGTAACACAAACTTTCTTAATGATGGATGAAGCGTACTGCTTGTGTCGACTTTTAGCTCCTTTACGTAGACCAAAGTACTAAAAAAAATAATTATATACTGTCAATGGTTATTTCTACAGAAAACGTGAAAATTTGGCTCACTTGGACAATGACGAACAAAACAGGCTCCGATACTCTTTGGGTCACCTTTACAAGGTGCTCCACCGTGAGCTGGAGCGGGGTTGTTGCACAAACGTGTACGATTCCTTGTTCCATTACCACATGTTTCACTGCATGCAGACCAAGCTCCCCAGTTAGACCAATTTCCTGCAACTAAAGGAAATAAAGCAAAAGGATGAGTTTTTAGAATATAATAACCAAACTTGAATTTGACACTAACCTCCTGTATAGATACCTTAGTAGCAAAACAGAGTCACTGAAGATATATATCTTAACTGTATAATTTAAATCAAATGTGAGTTAAATTCGACTTACTTGGACAATAGCGAACCAAACAAGCTTCTGTATTATTTGCGTCACCTTGGCAAGCTGCTCCACCGTGAGCTGGAGTGGGATTGTTACACAAACGTGTACGATTCCTTGTCCCATTTCCACACGTTTCACTACAGGCAGACCAAGCTCCCCAGTTAGACCAATTTCCCGCAACTGAAGCAAATGAAGCAGAAGGATGAGTTTTTTGAATATAATAACCAAACTTGAGTTTGATTGTTACCTCCTGTATAGATACCTTAGTAGCAAAACAGAGTCACTGAAGATATATATCTTAACTGTATGATTGAAATCAAGGGTGAGTTAAATTCGACTTACTTGGACAATAGCGAACCAAACAAGCTTCTGTAATATTTGCGTCACCTTGGCAAGCTGCTCCACCGTGAGCTGGAGCGGGATTGTTGCACAAACGTGTACGATTCCTTGTCCCATTTCCACACGTTTCACTACAGGCAGACCAAGCTCCCCAGTTAGACCAGTTTCCTGCGACTAACGGAAATAAAGCAGAAGGATGAGTTTTTGGAATATAATAACCAAACTTGAGTTTGACACTTTCCTCCTGTGTTCATAAATGATTGATAGGAAGACATTTATTATTTAGCTTGTTTAGTCACCATTAATTACTGATTATTAGCAGGTGTGTTAGTTTTTAACATGCGCTCACAACATTCTTGAGTTTGGAACGTCTGTGGTCATAGTGGCAGTATCTGAGGTTAGGATAGTCATTACCTGTCGGTTGGACGGATGTTGTAGTATCTGGCGACGCTGTGGTGCTTGGGGGCTTAGTCGTTTCAGGAGATGACGTTGTGGTTTTTGGTAATGTCGTAGTAGGTGGCGATGTCGCTAAAATACAAAAAAAAAGCTCGGTTAGTTGGGTATTAGTGAGGTTAACCACCAGAAGTGATTTCGAAACGGTTCGGTTCTCTTTGTCATCTTCACAAAAAAGGAAATGTGACAACAATGAGCAAGCGAAATCTTCTGTGGAAAAAACACTTAGCTTATCCAGTTTGTTAACAGGTATTCCACTCAAACACTTAGAAATAATTCAAATACAACGTAACAGGATTAAAAACCCCAACTGGCAGGAGTCGCGGCCTATTCTCTGTTTTCTGTCACGTCATCAAAAATAAAAATGCAAACCATTTAATACAGAAAGTCCAGAATCGGGGAATGAAAGAAGATAAATATATAGAACAATCCTCGCCAAGAAGCAGGTCTGTTCGGTATTTCGTATGCAAGATATTCGGAAATGGAGACGCCATGTTGGTGTCCCTTTGAGGGGCACAAATATGGCCGCCGGAAACCAACAGAAACATCTGTTTTTGAGTTTTCCTACAAATGCGTGAATTCATCGCTTGAGAAACTTATAAAGATTAAAGTAATTTAGTAGGCTCCATTACCAGCAGCTGTTCGGTAAATGAAACCGCACCCCTCCCCCAAACCGAGCGGAGAGCGGCGGAAATAGAGCCGGATCAATTTAGGTTAGTATAGTCATTACCTGTCGTTTGGACAGATAATGATGTAGTATCTTGCGACGGTGTGGTGCTTGGGGGCTTAGTGGTTTCAGGAGGTGGCGTTGTGGTGTGTGGTAATGTCGTAATAGGTGGTGATGTCGCTAAAATGAAAAAAAAAAAGCTCGGTTAGTTGAGTATTGGTGAGATTTACCACCAGAAATGGTTTCGAATTGGTCCAGAATCGGGGAATGAAAAAAGATAAATATGCAAAAATCCTCGCCAAGAAGCAGGTCTGTTCGGTATTTCATATGCGAGATATTCGGAAATGGAGACCCCATGTTGGTGTCCCTTTTAGGGGCACAAATATGGCTGCCGGAAACCAATAGAAACATCTGTTTTTGAGTTTTCCTACAAATGCGTGAATTCATCGCTTGAGAAACTCATAAAGATTAAAGTAATTTAGTAGTTTCCATTACCAGCAGCTGTTCGGTAAATGAAACCGCGCCCCTCCCCCAAACCGAGCGGAGAGCGGCGGAAATAGAGCAGGGCCTATTTAGGTTAGTATAGTCATTACCTGTCGTTTGGACAGATAATGATGTAGTATCTTGCGACGGTGTGGTGCTTGGGGGCTTAGTGGTTTCAGGAGGTGGCGTTGTGGTGTGTGGTAATGTCGTAATAGGTGGTGATGTCGCTAAAATGAAAAAAAAAAAGCTCGGTTAGTTGAGTATTGGTGAGGTTTACCACCCGAAATGGTTTCGAATTGGTCCAGAATCGGGGAATGAAAAAAGATAAATATGCAAAAATCCTCGCCAAGAAGCAGGTCTGTTCGGTATTTCATATGCGAGATATTCGGAAATGGAGACCCCATGTTGGTGTCCCTTTTAGGGGCACAAATATGGCTGCCGGAAACCAATAGAAACATCTGTTTTTGAGTTTTCCTACAAATGCGTGAATTCATCGCTTGAGAAACTCATAAAGATTAAAGTAATTTAGTAGTTTCCATTACCAGCAGCTGTTCGGTAAATGAAACCGCGCCCCTCCCCCAAACCGAGCGGAGAGCGGCGGAAATAGAGCAGGGCCTATTTAGGTTAGTATAGTCATTACCTGTCGTTTGGACAGATAATGATGTAGTATCTTGCGACGGTGTGGTGCTTGGGGGCTTAGTGGTTTCAGGAGGTGGCGTTGTGGTGTGTGGTAATGTCGTAATAGGTGGTGATGTCGCTAAAATGAAAAAAAAAAAGCTCGGTTAGTTGAGTATTGGTGAGGTTTACCACCCGAAATGGTTTCGAATTGGTCCAGAATCGGGGAATGAAAAAAGATAAATATGCAAAAATCCTCGCCAAGAAGCAGGTCTGTTCGGTATTTCATATGCGAGATATTCGGAAATGGAGACCCCATGTTGGTATCCCTTTTAGGGGCACAAATATGGCTGCCTGAAACCAATAGAAACATCTGTTTTTGAGTTTTCCTACAAATGCGTGAATTCATCGCTTGAGAAACTTATAAAGATTAAAGTAATTTAGTAGGCTCCATTACCAGCCGCTGTTCGGTAAACGAAATCGCGCCCCTCCCCCAAACCGAGCGGAGAGCGGCGGAAATAGAGCCGGATCAATGTAGGTTGGTATAGTCATTACCTGTCGTTTGGACAGATAATGATGTAGTATCTTGCGACGGTGTGGTGCTTGGGGGCTTAGTCGTTTCAGGAGGTGGCGTTGTGGTGTGTGGTGATGTCGTAGTAGGTGGTGATGTCGCTAAAATGAAGAAAAAAGCTCGGTTAGTTGAGTATTGGTGAGGTTAACAAGTAGAAATGGTTTTGGAAACGGTTAGGTTCTTTTTGTTATCTTCGCAAAAAAGGAAATGTGACAAGAATGAGCAAGCGACATCTTCTAGTCTTTAAGGTGTTTTTTTTTTTTGTACATTTTTGTAGATTGTATAATACTTCTTGACTTGCCCCAGATAGATTAGGTTCCTGCATGTGGAGGCAATGATCGAGAAGGATAAGTTTAAAAGGTTAATAAACGATTTAAGGTTTGATTATAGTGGAAATTACACTTAGCTTATCCAGTTTGTTAAAAGGCATTCCACTCAAACACTTAGAAATAATTCAAATACAACGTAACAGGATTAAAACCCCAACTGGCAGGAGGCAACCAGTCGTGGCCTATTCTCTGTTTTCTGTCACGTCATCAAAAATAAAAATGCAAACCATTTAATACTGAAAGCCCAAAATCGGGAAATGAAAGAAGATAAATATGCAAAAATCCTCACCAAGAAGCAGGTGTGTGCGATATTTCATATGCGAGATATTCGGAAATGGAGACGCCATGTTGGTGTCCCTTTTAGGGGCACAAATATGGCCCCCGGAACCAACAGAAACATCTGTTTTTGAGTTTTCCTACAAATGCGTGAATTCATCGCTTGAGAAACTTATAAAGATTGAAGTAATTTAGTAGGCTCCATTACCAGCAGCTGTTCGGTAAAGGAAACCGCGCCCCTCCCCCAAACCGAGCGGAGAGCGGCGGAAATAGAGCCGGATCAATTTAGGTTAGTATAGTCATTACCTGTCGTTTGGACAGATAATGATGTAGTATCTTGCGACGGTGTGGTGCTTGGGGGCTTAGTGGTTTCAGGAGGTGGCGTTGTGGTGTGTCGTAATGTCGTAGTAGGTGGCGATGTCGCTAAAATGAAAAAAAGCTCGGTTAGTTGAGTATTGGTGAGGTTAACCACCAGAAATGGTGGCGAAACGGTCCAGAATAGGGGAATGAAAGAAGATAAATATGCAAAAATCCTAGCCAAGAAGCAGGTCTGTGCGATATTTCATATGCGAGATATTCGGAAATGGAGACGCCATGTTCGTGTCCCTTTTAGGGGCACAAATATGGACGCCGGAAACCAACAGAAACATCTGTTTTTGAGTTTTCCCACTAATGCTTGAATTCATCGCTTGAGAAACTCATAAAGATTAAAGTAATTTAGAAGGCTCCATTACCAGCCGCTGTTCGGTAAATGAAACCGCGCCCCTCCCCCAAATCGAGCGGAGAGCGGCGGAAATAGAGCCGGATCAATTTAGGTTAGTATAGTCATTACCTGTCGTTTGGACAGGTGATGTTGAAGTATCTTGCGACGGTGTGGTGCTTGGGGGCTTCGTCGTTTCAGAAGGAGACGTTGTGGTCTTAGTCGTTTCAGAAGGTGACGTTGTGGTTTGTGGTAATGTCGTAGTAGGTGGTGATGTCGCTAAAATAAAAAAAGGGTTGAATATTGGCGAGGTTAACCACCGGAAATGGTTTCGAAACGGTTAGGTTCTCATAAAGATTAAAGTAATATTTATTCTGAGACAAGGAATGTTCAGATAGCAAAATATCAAAAAATCGGTAACTTTGTTATAAACCCCCATAAGGAGCTTTCCCGGCCGCCAGATTAATGCCGCGTCACGCAAAGGATTGGAAATTAAAGTCTCCTCTTTCGCAAAACAATGAACCCTTTCGAATCGAAAATTTGATTGAATTATGGTGTTTAAATGTTGTAATACCTCATGAAAGTAGAAACTCAGAAGAGTCGATAGTTTCTTAGTCTGAATTTTGGTGACGTCGTGTGAAAACCGAGAACACAAGCATGGCCGAGGTTTTGAACTAGGAACGAGCAAGAGCAAATCCGTCGAGTGGCCAGAGCGGGACGCGAATCCGGGGTTAACTCCCCTATATATTGTTCTCGAAACAATCGATAGTTAAAAATCAACTTACTTGGACACGGGCGAACAAAACAGGCATCTGTATTGATTGCGTCACCTTGGCAAGTGGCTCCACCGTGGGCTGGTGCGGGATTGTTACACGAACGTGTACGAACCCTTGTACCATAGCCACATGTTTCACTGCAAGAAGACCAATCGCTCCAGGTAGACCAATTGCCGGGAACTAGAGACAAAGAAATAACAAGTTACAAAAAAAAAATAGATTTCCGCACTTTTAGGATGGATTACAATAACCAAAGTGTCATAATGACTAGGTGTGAAACAGTTTCTTACGTCCTTAAATATAAACAAACCCTATGTATGATTTCGGCTTCCCATTACAGTCCGACACTGACTTTGGTACGGTTGAAGCAAACAAGCTCAGGCACGACTTTGGGTTTTTACTTTCTTCACTTTTCATTAGTTCTGATAGAAATACTCTTTTAAGTTATATGACGTTTTCTACTACATATATCATAAAAGTGAGGAAATTAGACTTACTTGGACAATGACGAATGAGACAAGTTTCTGTGCAGATTTGGCCACCATAACAAGCTTCTTCACTGCCAGCTGGAATGGGAGTGGTACACTCACGTCTACGGCTTCTCGTACCCTTACCACACGTCTCACTACAGGCTGACCAGGCTCCCCAAGACATCGGTACTCCATTAACTAATTTGATGACAAACACAGAAACGGTTCAGTTATGCATCATTTTAGGTAGGAGTATACAGTGGCAGAGTGACCTATTTTTAGCATATTCGATACCTGGTCGCAGTGAATTGCAAGTTGGTTGGACTGTTGATGAAGTTGCTGGGGGTGCTGTAGAGGAAAAATAAAAGCTAATTAACCTGTTATCATTTGTCAATTATGATTAATTTCTCGATAAATAATCTACTTGAAAATAACACTTTATTTGTGTGGTTTCATGATAGTGCTGTGGACGCAGACACGATCGTTCAAGTTTCAAATGCCACGTCTCCGCCATTGAATCTCATTACCTTGAAGAGGCTACCCAACCACAGTCTCCTTATAGCAGAAACAGACTCTCAATATAATCTGAGGGAAAAAAATAGTCTTAAGACGACAGTCGTTGTCGTACATAGTCTTATAAAGATTTATCACTTACTGTTCTGACAGCTCCTAATATCAATGCGCATACAGGGACTATTGCCAAAAAATGGTTTTTGTGGATTAAAAACAATCCAACGGGCCTGCACGGGATTGGTAAGGTTGGTGCCAACCACGGCATCTCCGTCACAATATGGGCCAAAAAAGACCTGCCAAAGAGGGAGCGATACAAAATAATAAATTATTTGTGTGTTTAATGACTATGAAACTGTAGGATTACCAAGGCTAAATGTAGTCAGTAACGTTCCACACCCATCTGTGAACGTACAACGTATATCGTTCAGCGCTTCTTTAATGAATCACAATGTAAATCAAGATAAGTTTTTCTCATTCTTGATTTATTTACTTATGGATTTATTTCTTTCCTTCCAGTGTTATCTGTTATTTTGTGCCCAAGTAGCTTATTATAATTGAAATATGCACTTTGCACATTTAAATAATAGCGTTTTCCAAACTTTTCCCCTTGAACTGATCATTGGCTTGATGGAAAATCATTGTTTGTTGTCGTTGCTTTGTTTTGTGTTTTTTTTAAATTTTATTTTTTGTTGTTAGAAAAAAATAGCAACTGAATTGCAGGCAGTCGATAAAGTTCAACAAGCCAATTTGAATCGGTGACAAAACTGCTTTTTCTTTTTTTAATAATAATAATAATTGATTGATTGATATTCAAAAAAAAAATGCTTCTTTTTCTTAACCATGGGAGATCGATCATTCCTGACGTTATTTCTCAAGGAAAAATAAACAGCCAATACAGGGAAGAGTTTCTGGCTCAATTAAGTTTAAAAGTTAAAAAAGAATAACCCGAAACAGTGCTTGAACCTTTTACTTGTGCGGATGTAGAATTATACTGATACTTAAATAAAGACTGGTTTATTATTACTACAATACCTTTTGGCCTCCCTCTCCTTCAATTTGGACAAAACCACGTCTAGTTATGCTTGTTTTCACGTAATACTTGAAGACAGATCTGTGGGTACCAGGCATTCCCTGAACAAACACTTGATCAAATGTGTAGATAGAGCCTAAAAATCAGCGAAGTAATAGAAATAAATTGATAAATAAAATTCTAGAATGAAATAATAATAATAATAACATTTTAATAATCTGATGCCTAAATTCTATATTTTATGATAGAAATAGAAAAAGCAGTTAAAATAGCGTTCAATAAGGAAAAGAAATCAGAAATCACTGTGCAGTTGTCTTTCCCTCATTCTTTCATTTATTCATTCGATCGTTCGTTCACTTGTTCTTTCTTTCTTCCTTTCATTCATTCACAAACGTACCACCTATGTAAGAGAAATCCTCTGCAAAAATGCTGCTAAAATTTAACAATTGCATTCTAACATCGATTGTGCGGCGGTCGAACGGAAATAGAGCCGGATCAATTTAGGTTAGTATAGTCATTACCTGTCGTTTGGACAGATAATGATGTAGTATCTTGCGACGGTGTGGTGCTTGGGGGCTTAGTGGTTTCAGGAGGTGGCGTTGTGGTGTGTCGTAATGTCGTAGTAGGTGGCGATGTCGCTAAAATGAAAAAAAGCTCGGTTAGTTGAGTATTGGTGAGGTTAACCACCAGAAATGGTGGCGAAACGGTCCAGAATAGGGGAATGAAAGAAGATAAATATGCAAAAATCCTAGCCAAGAAGCAGGTCTGTGCGATATTTCATATGCGAGATATTCGGAAATGGAGACGCCATGTTCGTGTCCCTTTTAGGGGCACAAATATGGACGCCGGAAACCAACAGAAACATCTGTTTTTGAGTTTTCCCACTAATGCTTGAATTCATCGCTTGAGAAACTCATAAAGATTAAAGTAATTTAGAAGGCTCCATTACCAGCCGCTGTTCGGTAAATGAAACCGCGCCCCTCCCCCAAATCGAGCGGAGAGCGGCGGAAATAGAGCCGGATCAATTTAGGTTAGTATAGTCATTACCTGTCGTTTGGACAGGTGATGTTGAAGTATCTTGCGACGGTGTGGTGCTTGGGGGCTTCGTCGTTTCAGAAGGAGACGTTGTGGTCTTAGTCGTTTCAGAAGGTGACGTTGTGGTTTGTGGTAATGTCGTAGTAGGTGGTGATGTCGCTAAAATAAAAAAAGGGTTGAATATTGGCGAGGTTAACCACCGGAAATGGTTTCGAAACGGTTAGGTTCTCATAAAGATTAAAGTAATATTTATTCTGAGACAAGGAATGTTCAGATAGCAAAATATCAAAAAATCGGTAACTTTGTTATAAACCCCCATAAGGAGCTTTCCCGGCCGCCAGATTAATGCCGCGTCACGCAAAGGATTGGAAATTAAAGTCTCCTCTTTCGCAAAACAATGAACCCTTTCGAATCGAAAATTTGATTGAATTATGGTGTTTAAATGTTGTAATACCTCATGAAAGTAGAAACTCAGAAGAGTCGATAGTTTCTTAGTCTGAATTTTGGTGACGTCGTGTGAAAACCGAGAACACAAGCATGGCCGAGGTTTTGAACTAGGAACGAGCAAGAGCAAATCCGTCGAGTGGCCAGAGCGGGACGCGAATCCGGGGTTAACTCCCCTATATATTGTTCTCGAAACAATCGATAGTTAAAAATCAACTTACTTGGACACGGGCGAACAAAACAGGCATCTGTATTGATTGCGTCACCTTGGCAAGTGGCTCCACCGTGGGCTGGTGCGGGATTGTTACACGAACGTGTACGAACCCTTGTACCATAGCCACATGTTTCACTGCAAGAAGACCAATCGCTCCAGGTAGACCAATTGCCGGGAACTAGAGACAAAGAAATAACAAGTTACAAAAAAAAAATAGATTTCCGCACTTTTAGGATGGATTACAATAACCAAAGTGTCATAATGACTAGGTGTGAAACAGTTTCTTACGTCCTTAAATATAAACAAACCCTATGTATGATTTCGGCTTCCCATTACAGTCCGACACTGACTTTGGTACGGTTGAAGCAAACAAGCTCAGGCACGACTTTGGGTTTTTACTTTCTTCACTTTTCATTAGTTCTGATAGAAATACTCTTTTAAGTTATATGACGTTTTCTACTACATATATCATAAAAGTGAGGAAATTAGACTTACTTGGACAATGACGAATGAGACAAGTTTCTGTGCAGATTTGGCCACCATAACAAGCTTCTTCACTGCCAGCTGGAATGGGAGTGGTACACTCACGTCTACGGCTTCTCGTACCCTTACCACACGTCTCACTACAGGCTGACCAGGCTCCCCAAGACATCGGTACTCCATTAACTAATTTGATGACAAACACAGAAACGGTTCAGTTATGCATCATTTTAGGTAGGAGTATACAGTGGCAGAGTGACCTATTTTTAGCATATTCGATACCTGGTCGCAGTGAATTGCAAGTTGGTTGGACTGTTGATGAAGTTGCTGGGGGTGCTGTAGAGGAAAAATAAAAGCTAATTAACCTGTTATCATTTGTCAATTATGATTAATTTCTCGATAAATAATCTACTTGAAAATAACACTTTATTTGTGTGGTTTCATGATAGTGCTGTGGACGCAGACACGATCGTTCAAGTTTCAAATGCCACGTCTCCGCCATTGAATCTCATTACCTTGAAGAGGCTACCCAACCACAGTCTCCTTATAGCAGAAACAGACTCTCAATATAATCTGAGGGAAAAAAATAGTCTTAAGACGACAGTCGTTGTCGTACATAGTCTTATAAAGATTTATCACTTACTGTTCTGACAGCTCCTAATATCAATGCGCATACAGGGACTATTGCCAAAAAATGGTTTTTGTGGATTAAAAACAATCCAACGGGCCTGCACGGGATTGGTAAGGTTGGTGCCAACCACGGCATCTCCGTCACAATATGGGCCAAAAAAGACCTGCCAAAGAGGGAGCGATACAAAATAATAAATTATTTGTGTGTTTAATGACTATGAAACTGTAGGATTACCAAGGCTAAATGTAGTCAGTAACGTTCCACACCCATCTGTGAACGTACAACGTATATCGTTCAGCGCTTCTTTAATGAATCACAATGTAAATCAAGATAAGTTTTTCTCATTCTTGATTTATTTACTTATGGATTTATTTCTTTCCTTCCAGTGTTATCTGTTATTTTGTGCCCAAGTAGCTTTATTATAATTGAAATATGCACTTTGCACATTTAAATAATAGCATTTTCCAAACCTTTCCCCTTGAACTGATCATTGGCTTGATGGAAAATCATTGTTTGTTGTCGTTGCTTTGTTTTGTGTTTTTTTTAATTTTGTTTTTTGTTGTTGTTGTTTTTGTTGTTAGAAAAAAATAGCAACTGAATTGCAGTCAGTCGATAAAGTTCAACAAGCCAATTTGAATCGGTGACAAAACTGCTTTTTCTTTTTTTAATAATAATAATAATTGATTGATTGATATTCAAAAAAAAAAATGCTTCTTTTTCTTAACTATGGGAGCTCGATCATTCCTGACGTTATTTCTCAAGGAAAAATAAACAGCCAATACAGGGAAGAGTTTCTGGCTCAATTAAGTTTAAAAGTTAAAAAAGAATAACCCGAAACAGTGCTTGAACCTTTTACTTGTGCGGATGTAGAATTATACTGATACTTAAATAAAGACTGGTTTATTATTACTACAATACCTTTTGACCTCCCTCTCCTTCAATTTGGACAAAACCACGTCTAGTTATGCTTGTTTTCACGTAATACTTGAAGACAGATCTGTGGGTACCAGGCATTCCCTGAACAAACACTTGATCAAATGTGTAGATAGAGCCTAAAAATCAGCGAAGTAATAGAAATAAATTGATAAATAAAATTCTAGAATGAAATAATAATAATAATAACATTTTAGTAATCTGATGCCTAAATTCTATATTTTATGATAGAAATAGAAAAAGCAGTTAAAATAGCGTTCAATAAGGAAAAGAAATCAGAAATCACTGTGCAGTTGTCTTTCTCTCATTCTTTCATTGATTCATTCGATCGTTCGTTCACTTGTTCTTTCTTTCTTCCTTTCATTCATTCACAAACGTACCACCTATGTAAGAGAAATCCTCTGCAAAAATGCTGCTAAAATTTAACAATTGCATTCTAACATCGATTGTGCGGCGGTCGATACAAGAAAAAATCCTTTCAATTTTGATGCCCTTGTAAAACCTTTACTTCTTTATGGTTGTGAAATATAGGGACCTGAATTTTGATGCCCTTGTAAAACCTTTACTTCTTTATGATTGTGAAATATAGGGACCTGAATTTTTGTCATGTAAATTAATCATTGGTTCATGAGTCAGCATGCGGTTGTCGCGATATGAAGCACGCGGAAAGTTTGGAGAGCAAGAAGGATCGAGAAGGAAGCGCATGAGTTACCGAGAGCAACTCTAGCCTCTTGAGTGCTCTCCAAACTTCTCAAGTGCTTCATATCTCGACATACGCACAGATGTTTTATAACATTTTCAATGCGGCAGTTAACTTAAAATTTTATTACAATAACTATAGCGTGCGCTCAAAGCAGTGCGCGTCAATGTCTAGTTGACTATTTGCTGTTTTTGACTCACAGTTATGTTTGCAATGTTTATTTATTATTTTTTTTAAAACTAAGAGAAAGGTTTTAGAATCCATATTGCGTCCGGAAACTTTTAATTCACCGAAAAATTATTCTTGAACAAAAAAATTTTACAAAAAATGATTTGCGCACGCCATACCTCGCGCAGATGACAACAACGACGTTTGCCTACTATCTGTTAACAAACTCAAACGAAAGTGTTTCTATTTAGCCAACATTACAAAAAACGTGGAAAACAGTTCATCCTGTACTGTTAAGTTATGGATGTACTTAGGAGGATTGCTAAGCTCACAAGAACCCGGCGAGGTTTTAGTTTGTTAACGTCATCAGCGTGCTCAAAAGGAATATGAAGCACGCTCGCGCTGTTCAGTGACTTTGATCAGGCGAATATTCTAGCTCAGTGTTATAAACACATTTTGATAAAAGTACAATTGAGCAAGCTAAATAAGTTCACATTAATTTTTGCAAACAAACATTAAACGTCTCATGGTATGTGGAAAACTTAGCTTCTAGATCAGAACTTGGCTTATACCCTCTCTCTACCGACACATTAAGACCTATCTTTTTTGTTATTGGTGCAGATTGAATCAGTTAAAAAAAAGATAGCCATCTTTTAACTGAAGCTTTTATCTACTTAAATACTCATGAAGCATTACAATTGTACTTTTTGCATGTTTTACACTTAGTTTATACACAAACTGTAAAACTTAATCTCATACGCGAATCATAGCATAATCTCTTGCGCTCATTTTTCAAATTATATGTTGAGCTACCCCATTCGGTGCTGTCTGCACTAGTTTTACCACTTTTGCAAACAGCAAGAAGCATCACACTTTGTAACCGATGATCCATACCACAACTATTCACAGCAAGAACATATTTATTTAGGGCCACACATAATGCTGAATTATATATATATCACATCCGCCATTTTTATTTTTAAGTGTCTCATCTGCCACAACAGTACAATATTACTTTTACCTTGTCATACAACAGTAAGATGAACAAGCATTTTTTTTTTACCTACAGGTCTACTTCTGCACAATCTAGTTGCAAGGTAAACTCCACAATCAAAGGATAAAAAGTTTTTTCTATATAATATGTAATATAAAGCTCATTGCATTTCTACTTGACTTTAAACTCTTTCAGAACATTTTAATTAGCTTAATTTTCTTACATATTTGTAAATTCGACAGTTCTCTGGCACGGCGGAAGTCTCCAACTTTTCTACTAGTATTTAAGCAGAAATCATTATATATATTTTTTCCAAGGGATGTTTATTTCCTGGTTGACCACATGTTCAGTAGTTAATAATTCGCATCATGAACTTGTCAATTGTGCAGCCAGTGCTTGGCGTGCTTACAAGACTTTTTTTCTTTCAAGAAATGCTCGTTCAACAGTATTGCTAACATATGTTTGACAAATAAGTAAACTCTCATCCTCATCAACAAGCATTAGCATGAGCATTAGCATTAGCATGAGATCTACTCATTTTGAGGTCACCTTCCAGCAATGAGCTGGAAGTTATTTACCTCCTGATATACAGCTAATAGTCGTTGTGAGCTTTGGGAGACGAAGGGACGTTCGGGAACGATCAAGCTATGGCAATTGTCTTCTTGATATCGGGCGCTCTCGTGCGGACGGACTAATTACGAAAGTGTCTACACCTGAGTGATACATTTGCATATCACAGTGCCCATAATAACTCGTTCCTACGCTACGCGTAATCCACAAGTTAAAAAGGTAGAAATGCAGCACATAAAATCAGCATTAGGAAGCTACGATTAGGATTTCACTCCTTACGCTTAGAAACAGGAAAATATCAAAATAAATTTGCATCCATACCAGCAGACTAAGGAAATACTTAGTTTGCAAAAGAAACTGTATAGAAGACGAAAAGCACTACCATACCATACCATACTATACTATACTATACTATACTATATACTATACTCATTGATTGATTGGTTGATTCGTTTATATAATCATTCATTAATTCATTCATTCATTTATCCAGTCAGTCAGTAAGCCAGTCAGTCACTCCTTCTTTCTTCTTCTTTTTTTTTTATTCTTTTTAATTATTCCTTCTTTATTTACTACTTTTGCCAAGTCACTTCATCGGAATAATTTACTTTGAAAATGTGCTTAAGGAACATGATTCTCTGTTTTTTTACCTTTCCATAAAACGCCTGGTTATATCTCATAGCAGTATTACCCAAAGGATAGAGAGTCAGGACTACATGTCAATCTTTTTGCTTTTACCTTAGTTAAGCTATATTGACCACTCCAGAAAATACCATAACATACCATAATGCTCTTTGTTTTTCACCCCAAAATTTTGCATAAGCATTGTCTTCAGTTTCTCTTGGGAGTTAAAATGGCCGCAAGAGAAACTGAAAACAATGCTTATGCAAAATTTTGGAGCGACAAAGAAAGAGCATTATGCTATGTTATGGTATTTTCTGGAGTGGTCAACTTACCTTAGGCCGTAACGAGCAAATCTGCATTCTTTTCGTTAATATTATTTTTGACGGAAGTTCATCGGGTATAACAGCCTGTACATGCTAGATTTTGACCAACACGAAACCCATGATCGGGGGCTCCTTACGGTCGCACCCATTTACCTACGGAATACTTCTAAATTTAAACAAGGGCTCTGAAATATTACCTAAATCCACTTTCAGAAACTGTTCACCGTTTATGAATTTGGCACACCAAACATCTTGGCCATGTAGCACAGGATACCCAGGACCAACGGAACTAGACGATGCCGTGAAGGTTACATTTCCATTGTTTTTGAGAAGGGAAGTACAGACTAATGATCAAGAACAAAAAAGTTAGTATAATTCAAGATTGCTTAAGGTGCATATTTAAGATGTGACTAAACGATGAAAATGATGAATTTTTTAAACAAATAGATAGATGTATGGATCATTAGGATATAAAGGATTGTACTAGTGATCTTCACCTCATCTAAGTGATGTTGCGTTCTTTGAAACGTGTGCACTTGGAAAAAAATGAAAAATGGGAACGAAACCTACGATGAATCCTAGGCCTTCATTTCCAATTCTCTGTTTTGTTTTCATTTTCCATTTTTTCGTTCCCCGCGCCCCTGTTTTCCGTTCTAGTAACATCCTTTGAGAAACAATGAACCACAATAATAAATCATCGACTCAAATTCTGCGAATATATTTTAGAGGCTAATTAACATAATATTGAAACTAACACCGTTACGTTACGAGTTCTGACAAAAAAGGCACTAGCAATGGCCTTTTTTTGGTATTTTTGTCTTCTTTAGTTTTGTTTATTAGTTTTATCTTATTTGGCAGGAACAAGAAATTTATTATTGCATGAATGACTTGTCATAAAATATTCAAAGTTGCTTATATTCACACGATTCTCTGCTAAGTCGGTGCTGAAACAAATATATCAAAGAGAAAAGGCCACAAGTGTCTTTATTCGATCTTCAAGAACTTTTTTGTCAAAGGAACTTAAGTTGGTCACTCAAAAATACCAAACTCTCGCGGCGGTTACCGCTGACAATAGTTTGGGCTTTTGTGGTTCTTGTCAGATGCGTAATACTAGATAATAATTACGCTTCCTTATAAACCACGACACGTAGAAGATTATTGTTCCTTTTTGGAAAACAGGAGACAAATAAAGGCGACATGCCAAAAACTAAGTTCGAAGGGAAATCACCCAAGAGAGTTGTAAAGATTTCGAGTTATTTTATCGAAGGTTAGGAAAACATGATGGGTGATAAAAAAACAATAATAATAACAATAATTAAAAACAGTCTTTTTATTAGTTATTTCTTTATACCGGAACCCAGTTGTTCAAATGGTGAATAAGGCTATCCACTGGATAAATCTCTTTCCTGTGTATAACGCAATTGGTTTTCCTAAAAACCTATCCACTGGATATTCATTTATCCGGTTTTTATCGCTATCTAACGTTTGAACAACTGGACCTGGTACT